ATAGATTGAGGAGAAATAATAGAAAACACACAACGTGGTTTTTGGCAAAATGTATGGCACTTATCACAATGCTCGGTATACAGTAGATATTTGAAATACATTTTTACCTGGACAAAGACAGGTTCCTTCACCGAAGGCCTGCTCTGATGCCATGCTATGGTAAGATGACTCCTGGTGCTGGGAGGTTACGCCACCAGATTTATAAGACTTCTACACCAGACCTGTCTGGCAGGTCCCACCAAAGCAGAAAGCATGGGCAATGTGCCTGTCATTCAAGGGCCAACCTACCTAAGTGTGGAGAGGCTCTTCAACAAATGGTTGATCATCAGGTGATGAATTTATTAACTATAAAAACTCATAAAAATATCTGCTGAGACACAGAGGGAATACAATCATACAATTTATGTTGATGGAAGGAAAATCAATAATTTATAAGACTATGGATATTTAAGTATTTGATAAATAATCATGATAATAGCACTTAGCCTTTATATAGCATACACTATGTGCCAGGCTCTGTGCTAAGCACTTAAAAATACTATTTCATCTGAGCTTCACAACAATCCTAGGAGATAGGTATTATTATCCCAATTTTCAGCTGAGGAAACTGAGGCAAACAGAGGTTAGGTGACTTGTCCAAGGTCACACAGCTAGCAAGTGTCTGATGCCAGAATTGAACTCTGGTTATCAACTAACTGGGAAATATGCAATAAAGCTCCCATGATTATTTACTAGATACTAAAATGGCTTTAGTTCAGAGCTGATCAGCCTCAGACAGTGTAATCTGAAGCCTGGTCACAGAGAGTCCAGTTAACAACGGATAATACCCTAAATAAGGACAAGCTGAATTACTTACCTATATTTGATTTTTAAAAAAGGTCTTGCCAACCCACTTACGTACTTAAGAGTTTTATCTTGCTTGTTTCACTTTGTATACATGTCAGTGACTCAATAAACATTTATTAAGTATTGTGCTAAGCTGGGAATACAAAAAGAGGCAAAAGGCAGTGCCCTCAAGGAGCTCCCAATCTAATGGGGGAGACACTAAGCAAACAAATATATAGAAACAAGCTACATAAAGGATAAAAATAATTAAAAGAGAGAAGGCACTAGAATTCAGAAGGGCTGGGAAAGGCTTCCAGTAGAACACTGGGATTTTGGCTGGGACTTAAAGGAAGCCTGGAGGAAGAGATGAAGATGGTGAGGGTTCTAGGCATGGGGGACAGTCAAAGAAAATGCCTGGAGTTAGGAGTGTTTTGTTTGGGGAAGAGGAAGGAGACCAGTGCTACTGGATCAAGGAATATTGGGGGGTAGGGGATTATGAGATGTAAGAAGACTAGAAGGGTAATAAGGGGCTAAGTTATAAAGGGGTTTGAATGCCAAACAGCATTTTGTATTTGATCTGAGACGTTAAAAGGAGTCACTGGAGTTGAGAGAGAGAGAAATGGCTGGATCTGTACTTTAAGAAAATCACTTTAGCGGCTGAATGGAGGATGGATGCAGGGGAGAGACTTGAGGCAAGCACACTCACCAGCAGCTATTGCAACAGTCCAGGCATGAGGAGATAAGGGCCTGTACCCCTTGGGTAGCAGTGTCAGAAGAGAGAAGGGGGTCTATTCAAGAGATGTTGCAAACAGGAAATGGACAGGCCTTGGCAACAGCCTAGATATGGGGGTAAGGGGTAGGTGAGTACAGAGTCCAGGATGACTCCTAGGTTGTGAGCCTGAGGGGCTGGGAGGATGGTGATGGCCTCTACAATAACAAGGAAGTTTGGAGGAGTGGAGGGTTTGGGATAAAGATTGCAAGTTTCATTTTGGACATGTTGAGTTGAAGATATCTACTGGATGTCCAGTTAAAAATGTCTGAAAGGCAGTTGAAGATGTAAGACTGGGGGTCAGCAGAGAGTTCGGGGCAGGAAAGGTAGATTTGAGAATCATCAGCATAGAGATGGTAATTTAACCCACAGGAGCTAATGAGATCACTAAGCTAAGTAGCACACAGGGACAAGAGGGTCCAGGACAGAACCCTGAGGAACACCCATGGTCAGAGGGAGTGATGTGGATGAGAATTCAGCTAGGCAGCTAGCCTCTAGATGAGGCAGCTAGGTGGCAAAACGGATAGAATGCTGGGCCTAGAGTCAGGAAGACTCGAGTTCAAATCCAGCTTCAAAATACTACTAGCTGGGTGACCCTCGGCAAGTCACTCCACCTCTTTGTCTCAGTTTACTCAAGTGTAAAAGGCGGATAATAATAGCCCCTTCCTCCCAGGGTTGTTGTGAGGATCAAATGAGATAATTACTATAAAGCCCTCAGCACAGTGCCTGGCACATAGTAAGTGCATATAAATGTTAGCTATTATTATCCAGCAAAGATAACTGAGGAATAGTCAGATAGGTAGGAGAACCAGGAGAGAATGGTACCCCAAAAACCTAGAAAAGAAAAGAGTATCTAGGAGAAGAGGGTGATCAACAGCGTCAAAGGCTACAGAGAGGTTGAGAAGAATAAGGATTGAGAAAAGGCCACTGGATTTGGCAACTAAGAGATCACTGAGGTCAGAAAATAGATTGTAAAGGCTTAAGAAGAAATTGAGAGGAGACAGCTTTTTCAAGGAGTTTACCCACAAAGGGCAAAAGAGATATAGAATGATAGTTATTGGAGATGAAGGGATCTACAGAGGGTTTTTTGAGAGTGGGGGAGAAGTAGGTAAGCCAGCGCACAGAAATTGTAGATTAATAATAGAGTGGGGATGACAGAGGAGCGCTCTGCTGGAGGAGATGGGACGAGATGGAAGGGGATCACTTGTGCAGATAGAGAGGTATGTGTGCATATACAAGTTCATCAGCTTGGAGGAGTTGAAAGAATGAAGAAATTGTAATTAGAAGCCCTAGGCTTTCTAATCTGGGCTTGGCTACCATATTATTTCTCCACTCTGGGTCTATTTCCTCTTCTATAAAATGAAGGTGTTAAACTAAATGATTCATCTGACTACCATGTGCCTGTCTTAATTGTCAGCTCCCGGAGGACAAGAGCTGTAGCTTTGTACAACATTTAGTACACAACTGCAAGCAAATTAGGTGCTTCATTAACACTCTGTAAAAATGCCAATGAACTTGACAACTGGCTCCTCGCAAGCTGGTTGTAGATATTCCCCCCTAAAAAGAAAGAAAAGAGCGTGAAGCATTTAGAGAAAAAGCAGAGAAGAGATGAGGAGATTCAGGGAGCAACAAGACAAAGAAACCGCTTTGGAACTGAAGTGCTGAAATGAGTACAGACTTTAAAAAAACAAGAAGAAGATTTACAGTCTCACACACAATCCCCCTTCTGTACTTTGTATCTGGGAATATTCATGCTTATTGTTGTTTGTCAAATTCAGAACAAAAAAACCAGTGAGCTGTCAGATTTGGGCAAAGCTCCAGCCCCACCACTTCCTGTCTTCCTCCACCAGAAGCTTAAAAAGGTAGGAACAATGTGGAAGCAAGGGAGACTGGAAAGCGAGAGGCTTCAGGACTGCTGAAACCGTAAGTCAGGAATCGGTAATCTGTTTGGAATGGCTGGCTAAAATGGGTACGCCAGCTCCTTCCTGTCACTGCAGGGGTGAAGGGCGAGGATGCAGAACGTGCTATATGCTCACAGATATTATCACTGTGTGTGTTAGTTTAGCTGACCTTTTTTGCTTTGGTTTTGTTGTCATTTCTCTTACAAGGAAAGATTCACTGGGTTGAGGATGGGCGCAGAGATAGATGTCCTTACTCTGGCTAACCTGGGAGCTTACAATCCAGTGCTCTTTTCTTTCTTTCTTTTTTTTTTTTTTAAGGCAATTGGGGTTAAGTGACTTGCCCAGGGTCACACAGCTAGTAAGTGTCAAGTGTTTGGTCTGAGGCAGGATTTGAACTCAGGTCCTCCTGACTTCAGGGCCGGTGCTCTATCCACTGTGCCACCTAGGTGCCCCAATCCAGCGCTCTTTTCACTGATCCAAGAGCTTACCCACACTAATGACAGAATGGATCTATCCACCAGGTCACTAAGGCCTCCTCAATGAGGACGTCTTACCATTTTCTCTACCACCATGCATGTACCCCAGCTCACCCATAACCCGCAGACCCTCTATTTCTTATTCGTGGAATAATATTAAAATCAATACCACCACTGCTCCTAGAAAGGGCCTGATGGTTTCCTGCTCTATGGCTCACGATTCCCGTGACTACCTAATCTAAAACTCCCCTCCCTTGCCTTGCCAGCGACTGCTAGGTCAATTCTTGGAGCCACTGCCAAGACAGTAAAGCTCAGGAACCAATATTCTAACCTGTTCTGCAAAACCAGGGTACTTTGGGCCCAGCTGAGATGCTCCCAAACTTGACACTTTTAACAGATGGGGAAAGAAAATTACCACTGTTACCATATAGAATATATGTATTGTATCCCCTAATTAGAATGCAAAATCCTTGAGGGTAAGGAGTGTCAAACTTCTGTCTTTGTATTCCCAGTCCCTAGCACTTAGTAGATGCTTAATAAATGCTTGGTGATTTATTGAAATGAATGTGATGCAAAAACAAAAGTAAAATAAAATACCATATCAAAGGCGTACTGAAGACAGACTCAAACCTGCTTTTTACTTCTGGTCAGGGTGCAGCTAGATGTCGCAATGGATAGAGTACTGGACCTGGATTCAGGAGGACCTGAGTTCAAATCCAGCCTTAGACTCACACATAACACTTACTATCTGTGTGACCCTGGGCAAATCACTTAACCCCATTGCCTAACCAAAAAAAAAAAAAAAAGAAAAGAAATAATAATACTTCTGGTCAGGCCTATACCCAGAACAGTTTACCTGAGGTTCCTGGTTATTTATTTCCTGCTTTGTTTTTCATTCCTGATGAATTTCTAGGACAGGTCACTAGTCCTTCTCCGTCTAATAACTTAGGATGAATAATACCCCTCTATAGAGAATTTTTTAATGCTTTCCCCAGATCCTCCCTCCGACACCAAAGGGGCTGAACAAACCTCTCTAACACAAGCCGACTGAGGGTCTCATTGGTGTGGGATGGCAGGTTCAGGGTCCCCTGTAGGATCGTCAGCTTCTTCTTTAAGCTCTTAGGAAAGAGAAAAATGCCTAAGTGTAAATGAGAAGACTAATGAATAAAGCTCTTAGTCTAGAGATGGACGAAGAGAAAAGAACAGGTTTGGGAGAAGAGGCAAGGCCAGCTCAGTCACTCCTTCAGTACACGGAGGCTCTTCCCTTGCACAGCCAGGCTGATACAGTCCAGAGTCCAGTCCTGGAGCCTAAGGCTCAACTTCAGGGGAATAAATTTTTGAAGTGATTCTGCACAACTTACTTCCCCCTCGTGCACTTCGATGACCTTTGGTGTCCAAATTCACCAAGAGTGGCAACAGTAAAAAAACAAATGGTGATCTTTTATGTTCACAGGACAGGAAGGGATTATTGGTCACATAAATAAAGTCTAAAGTACTCTTCAGGTAGGACAAATAACAACTGAGGGTGTGCCCCTTGCCTCTCAAAGTGAGGTGGGGACTTCAGCCAATAAAAACTATAACCAATATTTCAGAGGGCAAGCACCATGACAATGTCCAGCAGTGGACAGACAGAAGGATACATGAAGGAATAAAGGCAATGCTACACCTCCCATTTCTGAAACCTGTCCTGGATGAACACCCAGGCAGCCAAAAATGAATGCAATCATTTAGGTCTGGGTTTCTTTGTTGAAAGTGTCAAATGTCAAGCTTATTAGGAAGAGTTAAGCTGAGTACAGAGGTCTACACCAGGAAGTGAAAAACAGGGGTTGCACTGTTACTTCTGGTAAATGCGCATAAACTTTTGGACCCTTCAAGTCAGGCCTTCACCATCTCACCGTGATTTCCTTGTCTGCATTCTGTAAATCCTTCTGGGTTGATTTCAGTTCCTCCTTGATATTATCAAGCTCAGAGAGTGCCTTTTGTAACTACGGAAGAAGAAAGAGAGAAAAGTTCCAAAGAATTGTACCAACTCACACTCAAAGCACCTTCCTTGGGACAATCTTCAGGAGTTGCCTGGTAGGGAACTCTCTCATCAGTCTGTTAGAGGCCCTTGCCTGAGCAGGGTTCCCCCAGCCAAGAGAGTTTACTTTGCCCAGACAGTGCAGCAATTTTTCCCATCATCTGACCACACAGATGACTGCCCCCAGCAACTCATTCAATCTCTTGGGGCAAGTAACAAAGTCATTTCCTCTAAACTCCCAAACCTGGACACAGCAGGCCCAAGTACTTGGCAAATGACTCCTGCAGGGATTGCTAGGTCTTTTCCTTGGAGTCCCATCAAGATAGATGGGACTTGGTTACTGACATTCAAATCCCTGTAGTACAATCCAGGGTACTTTGAGCCCAGCTGAGATGTCCTCAAGCTAGACTGGGAGGTGGAGAAGGTGAAGAACAGTCACAGTAGAAGATGGGGAAACTGATCCTTGTTGCTACAAATGATACACACATACAGAGTTTTAATAGACTTAGAAGGGGATCCTGACTAAAAGCTCCTAGACTTCTTCCCTTGCATTTTGGAAAGGTTAGGCTAAGTGCTGGCAAGGAAAACATCAAAAGCACCTTTTAAAGCAGTTCTTCCAAGTAAGTGAGAAAATCTGCTGTTCTGCATCTACACTGACTTGACTTAAAAAGCGACCACTGCATCTTCAGAAAACCAAACAGGAGAGCTCGTCTCTTAATGATGGCCCAGCCCCATGATGTTCAGAACAATGCTCTTTGCTTTTGGGACATGAATGGTCATTCCCCAAACTCAAGGCCAGAGGCCTATATTTTGCTCTTTGAAGAGGGAGGGAGGGTGGTATGGTGCCCTGAGGGATGGATTTTTAGTCATAGCACCCAGGCTCAAATCCTGGCTCTGCTGTGTCTATGGGAAGTGGGACAAGCCATGTCAACTTTTGGGCCTCTTTCTTTGCAAAATGAGGCAATGATGGATAAGAGAACTTAAGATCCCTTTCAAGAGCAAAATCAGTCATTCACCAACAAGCATATATTAAGCACCCACTATGTGCCAGGCACTGGGGATACAAATAAAAGAATGAAGCCATCCCTATTCTCAAGAAGCTTACATTCTAATGTGAGAGACAAGTAAATCTATAAGGACACACAGAATATATCTAAAGAGAATTTTGTTACTGTTCAGTTGTTTTTCAGTCGTGTCTGACTCTTTGTGACCCCATTTGGGGTTTTCTTGGTAAAGATATTGGAGTGGTTTGCCACCTCCTTCTCCAGCTCATTTAACAGATAAGGAAACTGAGGCAAACAGGGTTAAGTGACTTGCCCAGGGTCACATAGCTAGTGTCTGAGGTCAGATTTGAAATCAGGGAGATGAGTCTTCCTTTTTCCAAGCCCAGTGCTTTATATACTGTGCTACCTAGCTGTCTATACAGAATCAATTGAGGAGGAATAAAAGGACTGCTTTGCTGCAGGCTATGTGATCCTGGTGAAAGAAACTGCTGATATTCAGACCAGGTGCTGGGCAAGAAATACGATCTCGTCCCTTTCTAAGCCTGTCCTATAGCCCCAAGGGAACGGCTGAGCTTATAGGTCCCACAGAGGAGTACAGGCAGCCTGAAACACTTGACTTGGCTGGGATGCCCTAGACTGAGGCATAGGCCTTTCACCACACCCTCCTCCCCCTTCTCACAGCTCCCCTCCCCCACCACATTACCTTGTTATTAGAAGAAAGCAAATCCTTCCTCAGCTTATCTGCCAGTTCACCTGAGGCCTTCCGGGCCTCTTTGAGATTTTCATATTCTCTGCAAAATCATCACACAGAAGCATTAGGATGTTGGAATACAAAGTTCTCTTAGCATCAGAGGGCATTATCCAAGCTGTTTATTAATATTTACTAGTGTCGAGCCCAAAGTATTATGTTAGCAAAACAGGGAAGTATTACTGATGGCAGAGAAAAGAACAACGGGATAGCAGTGAGGATCTCTGGGCACATCATTTAAACCTGTACCTCAGTTATTCTCCCTGCAAAAGGCATACCATTCTATCTACTTCACGGATATGAGCTGACATACATGATTGGGGCCGCTGTGAAACCAAGCAGCATGGAACAGGCAGGGCTCAGCAGTTCTCTAAGAGGAAGCACAGTGGAACCCATGAGCTCCTGGTTCCACCCTTCCTATTCTGCTGCGTCTGGATAACTAGCGGTAACAGGCCCTAGTCAGCTCATGGCTGACCCTCCACCCATGCAGGCTCAGAAATCTGCTTTAAGTCTTCACCCTAACAAAGGGAAGCAGAAGGCTAAGGTTTGGAATTTTAGGCAGACACACCTACCTTGGTAGGGAGAAAAATGAACTTGGTCTGAGGGTGTAGGGGGTTACACAGAGAGAAGGGCCTCTAGCACTCAGAGCCTCACCTGCCAGCTTCTCTTTCAAAGTACAAGCAGCAGAAAGGGGAGTGCTAGAGCCAAAGAGGTTCCTGTGTCTACAGGGTTGGATGCTGGGATTAATCTGTTCCTTTCAGAGAAAGACCCTCTCCTCATGTAGGCAAGTGATGATGCCTCAGGAAAGCCCCGAGTGCATTTTGGAATACCTACTTCTTGAGTGACACACAGTATACAGCCAGTTGTTCCATGGCTGACTGGCCTGCTCCCATGTCCCGAATCATCTGTTCCACCTCTGGGCGCTGGCTCTGGAGCAGGATCTCGAGCCTGAAAAAAAAACCAACTGAATGGCTTGTAAATTCTAAAGGATCCAGGGCAGAAGCATCCTAGCAGCTCGGTTTCCCCTCACTGCTGTTGCTATAGCAATGTATCAGAGCTGCTGGGTGAGGAGAAAGGGAAGTGTCTGCAGGCAGCATCACCAATGGATACCTACAGAAGGGCTGAGGAAAGCTGCTCTACTCTGATTTCACAGGAATGCTGCTAGGCAAGAAGGGTCAACAATGAAAGGCAACACCTTTACCTCAGGGCATTTCTGAAGGACAGTGATACCAGAGGAACACATCTAAGACCTTGCTAAGCTGATAAATAAAGAGCAAACCAATTGAGGAGTAAGCAAGACCCTCTTTTACACTCACTCCTTTATTCTCACTAAACCTGCTCTTCACCTTCAATGAAGACTCTGTTCTGTGCCTATTCTCTCAGTCTCTTCCTGAATCACTGGCTTCATTTGCCTCTATACCCAGACTTGACCCCAAGGCTGGCCAATTTAATAATTCACTAATAATCACCATGGAAACCTTCACTACTCATTAGCCTTTCTACTATCACATAATTGTTAATCCTCAGCCCTGGGTAGTATTACCCCACTATACAATTCCCCTATTTATACTCTGGTCCTGGAGATCTTTAACAAAGAAAGCGATGAAATGGAGCCATTTCACCCACTACAAATTTGTGGCACAGAACCTCAGCTGGGACCTCACTGTTGCTCAGCATTCCTTTTACTCTTTTCCTATTGGCTTATTCTTGATTAGCAATTTGTTCTGTAACTTTTCCTTTCTCCTCAAGCCCCAACTGAACCCCCATCCTCCACATTTATAGAAGACAACTTCTGAGAGAACATAGGCTATGACATAAGCTTATTCAACTCTGTTCTCAATCTTAAAACTTTCTAGCATCATCCATTCTGTCTCTCCTTTCTTTCTGCGTCAGTGGAAGCAACATCTCAATGCCTTGGTAAAGCCAATCCCTCTACCTATTCCCTGGATCCCATCTCCACTTAAATGCTCATTCCTTCTCTCTCATGCATCTTCCATCTTTACCTCTCCCATCGGCCTACAAGCATGCTCAAATTTTGCCAGTTCTAAAAAAAGATAACATTCCCTGACCCTTCCATATCCAGTTACTATCCTAGCTTTCTTCCCCTTCTTGGCTTACATCACTTTTTTTTTCAATATCACTTACTCTCCCACTGCCTTGCCATCCAGTTTCCATTTTCACTACTTCACTGAAACTCCTCTCCAAAGGTCACCAATAACTTTCTAATCATACTATATCCATAGCTTTTTTTAAGTCCATGATCTCAATGAAGCCTATTTAACACTACTGGCCACTTCCCCCCATGGATACTCTTGGGCTTCACAGACCTCATACTGCTCTGGTTTTCCTACTCTAGCTGCTCACTTGACTTCTTTTGCTGAACTTTCTTCCAAATAAATATCTAGAGGTTTTTTCTTGGTCCTCCTCTTCTGAAGCTACACTGTCTCCCACTACAATTTCATTTATTCCCCTAGTTTAAAGTAGCACCTCTAATGTAGATCCGAAATCTCTATCTCCAGCTCTGACCTCTCTCTCAAACTGCCTAAAAGGACACTGACGTCCCACCAGCACCTCAAACTCAAATGTCCAAAACTGACTTTATTATTCCTCCTAAATTTGTTCCTACCTTCTAGCTATATCTCTCAGTGACATCACCATTCATCCAAGTCTCTCATGTTGAAAATCTTGGTTTATCTTTGGTACTTTCTTTTCCTCCACATTTCATACATAATTAGTAAGTTCTATTACAGAGGTTCTTAACCTTTTTTGTGTACCCAACCAATCTGGCAGTCTTGTAAAGCCTAGATTCCTATTTAGAATTTTTTTTAATATAATATTTTATTTTTTCCCCCAGTTACATGTAAATACAATTTTTAGCATTCATTTTTAAAACTGAGTTCCAAATTTTCTCCCTCCCTCCCTCCCCACCCCCTTCATTGAGAAGGCAAATAATTCGATATAGCAAAACATTTCTGTTACAATCATGTTGTGAAAGAAAACCAAAACCAAAAACCAAAACAAAACAAAAACCTCAAACCTCAAGAAAAGTAAAGAAAGTACAAAAAGTATGCTTTAATCTATATTCAGAAACCATCAGTTCTTTCTCAGGGGATGGATAGCATTTTTCATCATAAGTCCTTCAGAGTTGTTTTGGATCATTGTATTGCTAAGAATAGCTAATCATTCACAGCTGATCATCTTACAATATTGCTGATATTTTGTACACAGTACATTTCACTTTCTATCAGCTCATGCAAGTCTCTCCAGGCTTTTCCAAGAGCATTCCACTCATCATTTCTGATAGCACAACAGTATTCCAACACAATCACATACCACAATTTGTTCAGCCATTCCCTAATTGATAGGTCTTCCTTCAATTTCCAATTCTTGGCCTCAGAAAAGAGCTGCTATAAATATTTTTTGTATATAGAGGTCCTTTTCCTTTTTTTTTTTTTTAAATTTCTTTTGGGATACAGACCTAGTAGTGGTATTGCTAGGTCAAAGGGTAAGCATGGTTTTATAGCCCTTTGGGCACAGTTCCAAATTGCTCTACAGAATGACTGAATCAGTTTACAACTCCACCAATAGTGCATTAAAGAGCTATTTTTTCCCACATCCCCCCACCATTTGTCATTTTCCTTTTCTGTCCTATTAGCCAATCTAATACGTACGAAGTAGTACCTCAGAACTGCTTTAATTTGCATTTCTCCAACCAATAGTGAGTTAGAGCATTTTTTATATGGTTATAGATAGCTTTGACTACTTCATCAGAATGTTTTTAAATAAATGAAAATGATAGGACTACAAAGAAAACCAATTACATTGAAATACAGTTATCAAAAATATTTTAAAAACAAGTTTATGGAGGGGCAGCTAGGTGGCACAGTAGATAGAGCACTGGCCCTGCAGTCAGGAGGATCTGAGTTGAAATCCAGCCTCAGACACTTACTAGCTGTGTGACCCTGGGCAAGTCACCCAACCCTGATTGCCTCCCTCCCTCTCCCCCCAAAAAAGACTTCTGGGTCATGTGAACAATAAGATGGCAGACAAGCCAATTTCTCTGATTTTTATGACCTCTCAAACCTCTCCAAAACAGAAATTATGTACCAAAGATAAACCAACTTCAGCTGTTTCCATGGCTTAGGACACCCAGAATCTAAGAGAAGGTTAAAAACAAAACCAAAACCCAGGAACTGATGCCCACTGACCCTGAGCTCACTCAGCACCCCTATGCCACCTCCCATGCCAAGGAGCATTAGCAGATTCAAGGATATAACACAGGCTTACACCAAAACACACCCCTGCATTCCAGTCCTCCCTCCCTCTTTCTAGTGCCATAGAGATCTTGGCTCCAAGTTGTACAAGTTTGCTTGGGACTGGACAGTCAGTTTGACCACACGACCCTTTAGAAGGAAAGTGCCAGAGCTGAAAAGCTCTGAATTGCCAACGCTGGGCAGTAGGACAGGTTACCAGGGCAGGAGAACCTGTATGTGGGGAATGGTGCAGCACTCCACCAAGCCTGGGGGAAGAGCACAGTATTCACCTGGGGCCAGTTCTGACTACCCAAAAGTAGGCCGAAGGCAGAGATCTAGACTAGCGAACCCTTAAATGCCCAGTGTGGGAGAAGGCTAAGACACTTAGAGATCCAGCCCCCAAGAAAACCACTATCAGTGGGGAGGGAGTCAGGAAATGGGTGATAACGAAAAGAAGGGGAAGGGGGCTGGAGACTGAAAATATCAGAAATTTCAGGAAGAAAGAATCTCAAAGCCCTTGAACATAAACAGATAAATCAACAGGAAAAACAGTAACAGAAGGAAATGTGGTTTCTAGAGCTAGTAATCAAGTTCAGGCATCTATGAATAAATACTGCAAAATAAAGGAAAATGATCCAACACTTGATAAGACAGGAGGACCCTGGGGGATTTGAGGAGAACATGGAACCACAACATGCTGTTCCTGAGTAGTTTAAAAGAGAAATAGAAATATGAGGGAAGAATTTATGTCCTATAAAAACAATGGGCAGAACAGAAAAACTGGAATCTGTGATGGCAAGTCTCAATGAAGAACAAAAGAGAACAATAGATTGGGAATGTAAATACACAGAAGTGAAGAATAACCTAGGAAGAGAAGCAAAATCCACAAACATTAAAAGAAAATACATTCACTATGCAAGCAAAACATGGATCTCAAAGACAGGATTCATAGAGAAAACCTAAGGATCACAGGTCTCCCAGAACTTTATAGGACAAAAGACCTCAGCACCACAGTGAAGGAAATAATAGAAAAGCCCAGAACTTCTGAACACAGAAAAATGAAATCCCAATGGAAAGAATTCATACTTTGCCTCCGGAAAAAAAAAAAAACCCCAACAACAATGAAAAAACCAAGGCTGCAAATTCCAAGACACACAGTGGTTAACAACAGAATTCAGAAATAAGTCCTGCAAGCCATCAGTAGAAAGACCTTCAAATACAAAGGAAAGGACATTTGAATAACATAAGACTTCTGTACCCTCTAGAAAAAAGGAGGAGGGAATGGAATACTGTGTTCTAAAGACCATGGGAGATCAGGATGTGGTCCAAGGTGACCTGTCCTGCAAATCTGAGCTAAAACATATAGAACAAAAGATGGACGTTCAATAATAAAGAAGAATTTGAAACATTTTTAGAAAGAAAATCAGGCCTGAAGAGATCATTTTCTTCTTAAACACCCAAAACAACAAAAATGCAGGAGTGAATAAATACAGATAGCACCAGCAACAAAGATACACACGAGACGACACCTTTCTAAAGGTATACTAGGAAACAGGGGTAAAGGTGGAAATCTGGTAGAGGTAACAGTGAAGAGGTGGGCAGGGGACAGCATTATAGACAGAACCTAGTGAAACTACCTACAGGTGAATGCATCTTTTGTGGACTACATTACAATATAGGAGGGTATCTGAAAGGGGGGAGGGGAACAGGAGGATAGAGAGAAGTGAGCGATGCACCAGAGTCAAATCAAGGGCTAGCAATAAGGGAAAAGTGACTTCTTTGGCTTCGGAAAGAGAAGAGTCTATAGGGGAATGGGTGAGGAGTAGGGGAGAAAACTGAGAAGCAGGAAAAGGAGGCTTTACTTTGGAGGTGGGAGAGGGCTGATAAATGCTGCATGAGAAATGCAGAGAAATGGATCAGGCCTGGGGTATTTGGTGCCTGAAAAGTCTACTTGTCCTGGGGGGGTAGGGGGTGGGACTCCTGCGGGGCAAATGACACCTAGAAGAATGGGAGAGCATGGACACAGGGAGATTTCAAGGCAAATGCAGGAAAAATAAGAAAGGTCAATGAAAGGGAAAAAATCCAGCAGAGTAGGAATGGGGTATGTGAGAAGGGCCCTATTATGGAGCAGTGTGTCCTCTATGACATCGGCAATAATTGGCATTACTCTGAGAGAGAGGCACAACGGAAAGGAGAATTCCATGGGGTAAATACTACAAGGCAGTAGCAGAGCCTAGAATGGATACTTTAGAAGCTTTGATTGTATAAAAAATACTGAGAAAAGAGAGAGACTAGATGATTAAAGGGGTCATGAATCAGAGGAAAATGAGGTTCTAAAGTAAACAGAAAGATAAGGTCGATAATGAACAGAGTGAGAGAAATTCTTTTTGGAAAGGACTCAAAAAAAATTAAATTTAAAAATTAATGAACAGGACTAGCTGAAGGGAAGGAGAGGGATGGGGAATGTACTTGACTGAGAGGAAAAAAGGGGGGGAAGTAATATATAACTAGATAAAAGCAGGAGAGAAAAAGGAACAAATAAACAAAACCCTAAAGGGAAAAGCGTAACAAACAAGAAGAGGGGATTTGGGGGAAGGGGAAGGGAGCCAGTAAGTAAAATAATTGAAGGTACATAATACTGTGTTTACAGCAAAAGAGAGGGAAAACCATAATTTGAAAGGAAAAAAACCCCTCAATTATAAGACACAGAGGAAAACATAAACCTAACTCATAACTTTAAATGTGAATGCATTAAACAAGCCAATAAAACAAAACAAAAAAAAAGTGACAGAAGGGATAAGAAAACAAAACCTTTCAATCTGTTGCTTACCAGAAACACATTTAAAAAACAAAGAAATCCACAAGTTCATGGATCCTAGGTTAAGAAATCTTGCTTTGCCACTTTTATCTCTATAACATTCCCTCACATCCATCTCCTACTCACTATTCCCACAGCAACCACCCTAATTCAGGTCCACAATACAATGTATCTAGATTTTAAGATTAACTAAGGGGGTCTTCTTTCTTCTACTCTCTTTCCCCCTCCAATCCTTTCATATTGCTGCTAGACTACTTTTCCTTGCACACAGACCTGACATTTCTCTTCTGGCCAAACCATTCACTGGCTTCTTGCAGCCCAAGCGAAATTCAAACTCTTTAGCACAGTACTGAAGGCTAACACCTGAAACCTAAACTTTTCCAGTCACATCTTACTTTATTCGCCTTTCCATATTGTTCAGCTTGTTCTCCCAAGTAGACCACTTATTTTCCTCCTTCAGTGCCTTTGCTCTTTATTCATATCAATCCTAATGCTTAGGACGCTTCTCTCTCCCCACCCATCCTTTAAAACCTAGCTTAACATGACACTAAGAAGCCTTTCCTCATCACCATCCCTCACAGAAGTAATGACCTTGCCCCCAACCTCATATTATATTTAAGTCCATCTGAAGTACTCATCACACATTATTTTATATCATAATTATTTGTGCATAAGTCATATTCCCCTACCACTCGAAGCTTCAGAAATGCACTGACTGCATCTTACCTAAACTTTTGTGTCTCACCGGCTGCTGGCGTAGTGCTCAGGATATAATAAATGCTTAGTCAGCATGAACCGTAGAATTAAATTCTCATACTGGAGGATCTCACTGGCCTTGAAAGTCAAAAAAGTCCACTGCAATGAAGTCCTTAACACTCACACTAAACAGGACTATTCTTCTCCTGTTCTCCCCTTCTAAGAACTATGAAAAATAGAATCAAAAACAAAAATGTGAACCAGCTCCCTTGCCATTCTCAAAAGCTATGACAGAAGAGAAAGCTGTTGTGGGAAACATTTCCGAGCTCTCTTCCTCACAGGTGGGAAAAGAATAAGAGTTGGAAAGAGAAGGGGCTGAACTGTCCAGCCTTTGTTAAATCAAGGCCTCTGTGATAATGACTTAGTCCTTGCGCCCCAAGCTCACCGTTCCATGCTCTTCATTTTGTTCCTCAGGCGGCATGTCTCCTCTTTCATATTCCTGGTCTCATCCTGCTGCTGCTCCAAGTACTTAATCTGTTTCTGGGAGGAAAAAGAAACTGTTGCTTAAGTGGATTCCTAAAGATTACCACTCACAGGATGGGTTTCTTCTACAAGGTCTCAGAAAACATGAGGAACGCACCTAGCAACCATTCGTTTCAAGGTCAACTCTGATTCTGCACTAGACTGGCTGAAGGACAATGGGTCAAGTTACTCCCTATCTGAAAAGGAGACCATCATCTTCCTGTCCCTACGGTATTTTATAGATGAAACACAAATAATAAGCCAAATGTGGATGATTGTTATCTATGGACTGGCAGAGATCTGTCTGTAACCAAGCTGTAAGAAATCAATCAATAAGCATTTATTAAACTCCTACTATATGCCAGGCTCTGTGCAAGGTGCTGGGAATACAAGGCCATAAAAAGAAACAGTCCCTGTCCCCAAGAAGCTTAGACAACATGTACAAGTGTTATAAAAGATAAAAACAAGGTAATTTTTGGTAATTTTGCTCTAGTAGCTAGGGGAATCAGGAAAAGCTTCATGAAGAAGATGGTACTTGAGTTTTGAAAAAAAAACAAGTGAAGGAAAAAAGCATCAATAAAATGCTAAAAATACACAGAACAGAGCAAGAAAGAAGTTCAAAAGGGAATACAGACAAGAAGAGTAATTTTATAATTATCACATTAAATTTAGTGTTCACTTAAAAAATCCAAGCAGTATGTAATACAAGTGCAGGTTCACATATAATCCTTTTTATTCTTTGTACATCAAAATGTCACTTGTCACAATAAAAAAGAAAAAATAAATTAATAAAAAATAAAATAAAAAAAATTAAAAATCTAAGAGGTTATGGATATGACAGTAACATAGGAGGAGACCCAGCATCTGGGGAATTACATTACATATCGATTTAATTTAGAATGGCTTATTGAGTTTTTCAATTTCAAAGAGAATTTCTCTACTTTCTTGCCTTCTACAGTATGTTAGCAAACAAGCAGCAATTAGCAAACATCCCATGAAATGATGTTTCTTGCTACCTTTGAATACATAATGAAACCAAATCCATCAAACCTGTGGTCAACTCTTTTCACTCAACTTACATCCTCCTTTGTCCTCTTGTTTGATTTATTACAAGAATGTCAATACTGATACAATTTGTTTCCTCCAGTACTATGTCTACCAGGTCACTGGACAACAATCTCACATTTAGAGCACCAAGGCAACAGAGTTAATGTTTATAAATGTAAACTTCTGTGATTCTTTTACGTTCTATTCCCTTTTCTTCCACTGCAAAAATAGAACAAGGCTGCACAGTCCTGTTTATGGACTGTCATGGTCAAAGAAATTAATCCTCAAGTGGGCAGTCACTGGTGATGAGCTCTCTGTACTTCGTCCTTAGAAAGCAGATGTCATTTGTCACCAGAACCTTATTCAAAGCCTTTCAAGCACCTGAGTTTGTACTCTTCCCCAGTACAGCCCTTGAGAATCCAGAGCCACCTCCACAGCATGATGAAGCATTAGAGTAAGACTTTGTACAGAAAGACAAGGATGATGAACAGGGGCCTCTGTCATCCACCATGAAGGTGTGCTTATCATTTTAAGGCAAACTTGGTTTGAATCTTGCTTAGACTCAGGAGGCAGCTCTCGATTTATCTTCCCTCATATCAGTGTGTTGGTTCCCAGTGTACCGCACTGCAAGAGTCAGCCCTTCACCTAAGGAATTTCTAGAAATATAATGAACAGATTCTTCCCTTTCAAGATATTCTCTTCTCCCCACACTCATCCTGATGCCTGAGCCAGCTCCTAAATCTTCCTTCCCTTGCTTCCCTTCTTCACTCAGCTCCCTAAAACAGAACTGAAGAAACAACGAAAACCCTGCAGTCTGACCTCCTGCAGAACGACAGCTGTCTTTCAAACAGCACATCACATGGGGCTGCTGCTTCTTTTGCAGCTAGAATATCAATCTCCAGTTCAGATCAATCGCTTCATTCCCCCTTGGGGAGGGCAGGGGGGCTGAGGAGGGAAAGAGGCCAACAGGCCCATGCTGACAAAATATTCATTTGGGTTTGGGGGCCGCTTGCTTTGATCTTCCCGGTCAGTTGAGCACATTGAACTTCAAAGTTCCCTGCTCTTCCCTGGTATGCTGTTTGATCTGGCTCCAGAGAGCAGCTCGGCCGAAGGCTGAAGCACTAATGGGAGGACTCCTGAGGCCTGTCTCATCAGCTGCCTTCTTGAAGCTGGCCTGGGCCTATCTCGGGCATAAAGGGCTCAGGCCTATTAGTTCTTGTCTTGCAAGTGCCTATGGCTGGAAGGAGCCAGAAAAGCTTTTCTGAGCTGTTGTGTACTTTTCAAAGTCAATACGCAAACTTGGCTGCCACAGCAGCCTTCATGGGCCTATACAGGTCCCAAAGGGGCTTGAATTGAGTTGCACTCTGGGTCATTTTATAATTTGATTTATCCATTTAACAAGGTAGATTGCTCAAAGCAGGCTACATATTCGCTTCCTCAAGTCCTCGAGCAGGAGTTCTTAACCTCTTGTGTCATGGACCCCTTGAGCAGTCCAGTGAAACTTATGGGACCTGTTCTCAGAATAATCTTTTTAAATGCATAAAATGAAATGTGTAGGATTGTAAAGGAAATTAATTATATTGAAATACAATTATAAATTTTTTTTTTAAAAGTTCATAGTTTTAATAACATCTGCTCTAGAGGGGCTAACAAGGGGCAGGAATTTTTCTCCAATATACACATGGGGAAACCAAAGCAGAGATAGTGGAGAACCTCAAGAACGGGAGTTCCTAGTCCCATGTCCTTTAACATCAGGAAAAATTTTCAGTGACATAGAGAATTACTGTCTGTAGAAGAACGAGAGCTATAAATCTGAAGCACACAGATCCCCAAAGGACTTACCTTGAAAGTTGAACACAGCATTTCTGACTCGCCCAGGGCCTTTTGCAGTGACTCTATGGTAACATTTCGCACATCTAATACTTCTCGCAAAGAGTCAATGATGGACTGGCAATCTTTCTTCTCTTTTACTGGAGGGAGACATTCAAATCAGCACAGTACAGATTCCTAACCCTAGCATCCTGCTTGTACCCTTCAACCAACTGCCAGATGAAAAGAGAAAGAGAGAGTGTATGTGCGTGCGTGTGCGTGTGCGTGTGCATGTGCGTGTGTGTGTGTGTGTGTGTGTGTGTGTGTGTGTGTGTTTTTATAGGTAGGTAGGGGTGAAGAGATTAAGGGGCAAACTGAAAAGCCAATGAGAGTGTTTGCACTGCTGATTTTCCTAGGAGAGGTTCTTATTTGCTCCAGAAAGGCTAGGAGCACTAGCTTCTACTCCATAGGCTACTTCAAATGAGGAGAAGTGCAGTTCTCCCTACTAAGCACCATTAGCCACATAAGAACCTAGGGGAAAGTTCCAAATCCTTTCCAAACTAGTAAACAAGTTAGCTGTGCTCCCCCTTTGAGCTTCCTTCTCCTTAGCATGTTCTAGGCCAGAGACCTTGGCACTCAGGCTTAATGACAAAACTCATTCTGTTCTTTGTGACTCATATTCTGTACGTAAGCAGCCCCCAGGACCCATCTTCCCAAATCCCCAGGGTTTTCCTTCATGTTCCAGGGATCTCCTACTTTTCACAGCCACATGTGACCAGCACAACCCAGGCTGAAGCCCTCTCCTTCACATTCTGATCCATTCTATACAAATCAGCCAATGACCAGGAAGCAACAAGTCAGTGGCTGAAGAGTTGCACAGACCCACCGTGATGGTCTCAATCATGCCCTCTGTCTCTACCTTAAGAGCTGGGCAGACTGAATACACTCAGCCACATGGGGGGAGGACCAGCCTGGAATGAATTCCTAGATGAAGGCTTACTTGGGGCTCCCCTCCATTTCTAAGTACAGCTTGTTTGCTTCTTTGGGAAATTTCTCAGCTGTCTGGAGGGAGTAGGCACAATTCTCTATAACTCACCTTTTAAGGATAGCTGGGCTCTAGTCTTATCCAGTTCATTCTGCAAGGAAACAAATATGGTCAGAGATCTAAGGGCATCACAAATACTTTCCATACTATTTCTAATATAGTGCTATCTGAATTTAAGAGGGGTGTCCTATTTGATAAAGGGAAAACCAGAGGTACTGGAGATATAAAGGATATAGCTAAGTCTCCATTGATAATACAAGGATGCATTCTAACTCCAGTCCGCAAAATACTGTTCTCATACAAAAATTTATTTTAATACCTAAAAAGATTTCATTAGTGTGGATATTCCCTTGATTGATGCAGACTACATATAAAATTTCCATGTCTTAGTAGACTATCTTCATTATTTGCTGTGCCTAAAAAAAATTCATCACATTGTGGCAAACCTGTCAAGACATCTCTATAAACCTAGATAGGCTGGTTCTTAGATAATAACTCGTCGCTAGGCCCATACCAGAAGCCCTTCCACTTTGGCAGGTTCTGTCAAAGCTTGTGTTCTAGCAAATCTAGGGTCACCTCCACATTATAAGCAGGCATTAGAGAGGGATTGTGGTAGAAGATGCTGAAACTAAAGTTCAGAATATGCATTCTAAAAAAGAGACAAACTAGCTAGGTTACATCTTGCTTCAAGTCCATCTTGAATTCTGTAACCCTGGGATGGATAGAGTCCTGCTTCCTGGGATCTACCTGGAATTTTCTTATTAGTTTTAGCCCTCCAAATACTTACTGGTCAGACAAAGGTGTGTTTGGGTACAGTGGATATTTGAGGAATGAAGGATACTCTCTAGCAGTTAACTAGGGAAAAACACCAGCCAAATGAATCAAACAAAAACTCAAGGTCGCTCTAATCCCTTTCATATTTTAGTACAAGCTTTACTAAGCATTTACTTAAAATCATTCTTTTAGCCCCAAAGATACTGACCTCCTCCCCTACTCTCAATTTCTATTTTTTAAGCAGGAAAGTATTAGAAGATGTCATTGTTGCCGTCATTACAGGGGCTATACCATTTAAAAACGGAGCTGTTGCCATGACAATAGAAGCAATGGTAATGGCTGAGCACACTGGTTTGAAGCAGAAGAGGATACAAGAGTCCCATTATTTGAACTCCAGCTAACTCAAGGCTCAAAGGAAGCAAATGTGTCACTAAGCTACCAGCAGGAAGGTGGAACAATTCAATGCCTAGCAAAATTAACCCTTAAAACCCAGCAATTACGTGTCAGTCCTAACACAGCTTTATTTAGGGAGCCCTATGATTCTAGCCACTTCACATCCAAAAGGCTAACAGAAAGAATCCAAACGGAGCCAGCTGTGAAAGACTACATGATACCCCAAAGTCAAAGGCCTAGTCATTGGGAACTTCAAGAGTAAAGGACCTCAATTATTTCTACTGAATGTTCTGTGCTCAATTTCCCTAGCTACAAAATGAGGCTGGCAGAATTAAGTCAGTTCACAAGCAAAGTGAAAGAACATCCAAGAAGGGTTTTGAGCTTCCCAGTTAAGAAATCTACAAGTACAAAGATTTACTAATATAGCAATGTGGTTTTCAGTGCTAAACATCACTGCAAGTATTAAGTGTCCAGGGAATGGGGACACTACATGAGTGTTTTTCAAGCTGGGAATTATGCTGGAATTTCACAGGGACTGCGGGGAAGAGCAGACTGACTCTAAATCTAGTGCTCTTTTCATTATGTCACACTGCTCTCATATAAAAACAGTAAGAATGAAGTGAGGCATAAACTGAGGAGCAAATGGGGGCCCTGGGTTCAAATCCCAACTTAGACACAATCTTTGTGGCCTCCTTTTCCTTATTTATAAAAGGACTTGCCTGAAGGGCCTTCACACTTCTAAATACCATGGTAACCTTGCTCCTGCATATTATTACTAACAATATTATCACTTTATAACTCTCCTTTGCTTCAATCTTCAATGGCAAGAGCCCAGTTATTATTACTGCTCTTTCTTTTTCAACAACATGGGAACCCTGACCTTTCTTCATGGGCAGACACAAAATGGCATAAGGGTTCTATTGAATAACAAAGCTGAAGAACATTTCCCCTGCATAATGGCCCTGCATACCTTAAATTTTTAAAAAAGTTCATTGTTTACTTAGTAAACATTAAACAAGAACATTTCAATATATAAAAAAGAACAGGAAAAGACAACTGCATACAAAACCGTGAATCTTTATTTGCTCCCACATACCTTTAAGGTCTCTGCATCCAAGCCTGTTTCCTCTTCCTGAGCAAGGTCAAAGAACAGCTTATTGATAATGGATCTTTTGCCAACCTAGATGGGAAAATAGAATAGGGAAAAGAGACTCATCATCAAAGATCAAGAAGCAGGTATAAAGGGAAAAGGGGAGGGAATGAAATATCAAGATCTGACAGCTGCCTGCCTGATTCTGATGACTGCTGCAAATCCCTCTCTCTTTCCACCCTCAGAACACTTAGATTATACTAGAAATGGCACTTTGCTCCTCTTCTAAAGGAAGGAATTAGGGTCAGGTTTCTCTCAGAACATCAGGTGCACTTTACTTTTTATTTTTTGGTGAGGCAATTGGGGTTAAGTGACTTGCCCAGGGTCACACAACTAGTAAGTGTCATGTGTCTGAGGGCAGATTTGAACTCAAGTCCTCTTGACTCCAAGGCTGGAGCTCTATCCACTGTGCCACCTAGCTGCCTCATCATCAGGTGCACTTTGGCTAAAATGGATAGCTTCCAAGTGCCCCACATGCCCTCAGAAAACTCAGGTGGCAACAATTTTGTGTTCTCTAAAGTTATGACACTATTTAATTGAATGATAGCTCCCACTGCTAAAAATCTCACTATTCCATGGCTAACTCAATGAAAACAAAGCAGCCAAAGGCATTGGACCTTAAGAAAATCAGGAAAAGGATGGAGACCAGTTTTCTTGGAAAAATAAGCTAGCTATCACTGATCTTGATGAATGAAGGCATCTCACAGGAACATAAAATTTTAAGAGTTAGAAGGGGCTTCAGCACCCATCTAGTTTGACCCATAACCAAAAGGAATCTTCCCTGTAACAAACTCAAATGGTCATCCACCACCTGCTTGCAGACCCCCATGGTGCTATCTTGTTGAGAAGGCACCTCCTCCAAACTTTACACAGAATGAGGATGCCCAAACGAAGCTGCAGTGAGTGACTAGAGACAAGCTTGATATTTCCCCAAGAGCTCTTCTCATTTAATCACTCCAATAAGGAAAGGCAATCTCTCATCAAGGCACTCCTACCATTGACACTACCTCTAGAAATAGTAGTTTACCTGGATCCGACATTGTGGACATGTACGACTTGGAGCACTGTCAAACCATTTAATGAGGCTGAAAAAGAGAGAAATGACAAAATGGACATTTTTAGATATTCCTTAGCAAAAAGTTCAGATACCTGGACTAACTGCTTTGGGAAGTCTGTGAAATACAGACTGAGCATTTACTGAATATAAAGGCATACACTGAGAGGATTCAAGACAGGATAGGTAAACTCCTATATTCCTAAACCAGCAGGAACCTTTGAGATCATCTAGTCAAATCCTCTCCCTTTACAGACGAGGAAAAAAACAACCCAGAGTGGTTAAGTGATTTGCTCACGGACACTAAGACAGCAAATAGTACATAGTACATAGCATAGCTAGAATGTACTCGATTCCAGATCTGGTGCTTTTCTTACTATACTATGATTTTCTTCCCACATAGTATGTACAGTTTAATAGGAATGATAAAATAGGATTACAAATAACTCCTCAATTTGTATAGTACTGTAAGCTTGCAAAGTACTATTCTCAAGTCTGCAAGGTACTGTTGTTGGTGGAGTTGTGAACTGATCCAACCATTCTGGAGTGCAACTTTGAACTATGCCCAAAGGGCTATAAAACTGTCCATATACTACTAAGTCTGTATCCCAAAAAGGTTAAAAAAACAAACAAGGAAAAGGACCTATATGTACAAAAATATTTATAGCAGCTCCTTTTGTGATGGCAAAGAATTGGAAATTGAGGGGATGCCCACCAACCAGGGAATGGATGAACAAGTTGTGGTTTAGATTGTGATGGAGTTCTATTGTGTTGTAAGAAATAATGAAGGGAAGGCTTTCAGAAAAACCTGGAAAGACTGTACTGATACAAAGTGAAATGAGTAGAACCAGGAGAACATTGTACACAGTAACAACTATATTGTACAATGATTAACTGTGAACGACTTAGCTATTCCCAGCAACACAAAGATGATTCTGAAGGACCTATGATGAAAAATGCTATCCACCTTCAGACAAAGAACTGATAGAATTTGAATACAGATTCAATCACGCTTTTTTTAAAATTTTTCTTTAATTTTCTTGTTTTTTTTTGTTTTCTTTCAAAACATGAATAATAGGGAAATATGTTTTGCATGACTGTACATGTATAACCTTTATCAAATAGCTTGCCTTCTCTCAATGATGGGGGAGGAAGGATAGGAGAGAATTTGGAATTCAAAATTGTAAAAAATGAAGATTAAAAATTGTTTTTACATGTAATTGGGAAAAAATAAAATACTAAAAGTTTTAAAAGTCTGCAAAACAACAAAAACAAATATCACCTCCATTTTACAAAGGGAAAAACTAAGGCTCTGAAAAGTTACACGAACTTGCCCATGATCACACAACTAACAGGTGCCTGAGGAAGGATTTAAAGCTTTGTTTGACCAAGTCCAGTACTCCAGTCACTATACCATGCTGCCTGTGGTGTAATTATAAAAAGTCATTACATTAATTAGACTATAATAAACAGATAGGAAAAAAAAACTATAGTGTTACAAAAGAACTGAGTAAGAGGAAATCGTTTCTGGTTTGGAGCAGTGTGATAATAATCAGGGAAGACTTCATGAAGAGATGGTACTTAAGGTAGGCCCTGAAAAATGGGAAGGATTTCAACAAGTGGAGATTTATTCATCCATCAAAAAAAATCATCCTTTATGGTATTCCCAATCCCTCTCCTTGTGCCCTTAATCCCCTCTTCTCTCCTCTGGCACCGTGCATCCTTGAACACTGCATCTCTTCTCATTTTCAACCTCTCCATATCAATAGTTTTTCCTTCAAAAATGCCCAGATCTCCCCCACCCTTAAAAAAACTTCACATTATAATCCTGTATCTCAACTTCCATTGTCTTTACTTTCTTACCTCCCACTCACTTGTTAAAGTAATTAGGTGGCACAATGGGTAGAATGCCGGAGTTGGAAATCAGGAAAACCTGAGTCCAAATCCTGCCTCAGACACTTCCTAGTTCTGTGATCCTGGACAAGTCATTTAATCTCTGCCTCAGTTTCCTCACCGGTAAAATGGTAATAATAGCACCTACCTTCCAGGGGTGCTATGAGGATAAAACAAGACAATATTTTTAAAGTACTTTGCAAACCTTAAAGCACCATATAAATGCTAGCAGTTGTCATCACTGTTGTTATTATTACTTTCTAACCCTTACAATATGCTTTCTGTCCCTACCACTCAATAGAAAGTGATCTCTGTTAGGTCACAAATGATTTTTTTGTCAAGTCCAAAGCCTTTTTCTCAGTCCTCATTTTTCTTTACCTCTAACTCCTCTGACACTACTAATCAACCCCTCCTTCTGGATATTTTCTTCTGAGTTGTCATGATATTTCTCTGTTAGGATTCTCTTTCTCAGTCTCTTTTTATGCATCATCCTCTACATGCTGCTCCTTCTGCATGAGTATCCCAACTCAGGGCTCTGTCCTGGACCTTCTCTTCTTCCCTCTTCAGGTAATGTCATCAGCTCCCAATGATTTAACTATAATTTCCATGCAGATGACTCCTAAGTCTATAGATCCCACTCTCATCATTCTCCTAAGCTTCAGGCTCACATCTCCGATTGCTTGCCTGGCATCTCCACCTGGATATCCCATGGGCATTTAAAATTCAACATGTCTAAAACAGAATTCATTATCTTGTCCCCTAAACCCACCTTCCTCCTAAATTCCCTATTTCTGCAGAGGGCACCACCATCTCTCCAGTCAACAAGGTTCACAACCTAAACTCATCTTAAACTCTTCACTCTCACCTCCCTGCATCCAATCAACTGCAAATCATATCTTGATTCTACTTCCTCAACATACCTCCCAATTTGTTTATATATCTCAGTCTCTATCTGTCCTCTCATGTCTATTTTTAGCAAAACTAATCGAGTCCCTCATCACATCTTGCTTAGACAATTAAAAAATCCTAATTGGTCTCCCTATATTTAATCTCTTCCCTCTCTAATTCATCTTCCACCAGCTGCCAAACTGATATTCCTGACATATATGACCATGTTACTCCTTCAGCATGACATGGTCAGATGTGTTTTAGGAATATCAGACTTGAAGCTTCAGTGGTTCCCCACTGTCTTTATATTAAAATACAAAATCCTTTGTTTGGCATTTAAAGTCCTACACAAGTTGACTTCAGCTCCCGTTCTAGGCTGTGCTAGCACAGTCCTCTCCCTCCCTCATTTTACACTCCAGTCAAACTGACCTTGCTTGAGACATTCAGTCTCTTGCCTCTGCTCCTCTGCACAAGCTGATCTGCTAATCTGGAATGCTTTGCCCCCTGGAACCCCTGAATCCCTTCAAAGCTCAATTCAAATGCTACTCCCTTGAAGAGACCTTTCCTGAACCCCTAGTAGAATGTTAGCCCCTTGAGGACAGGGGATGCCTCATATAGATGCTATCTGAGGATAGGAACTTTCTCACTTTTGCATTTGTATGCCTAATGCCTACAGAGAACAATGCCTGGCACATAGAAGAGGCATTTAATAAATGCTTATTAATTGGATGAATTATATTTTGAGCCTGCTACTATGTAGCACATTCAAAGCACAGGCAGCTACGTCAGACAACTCACAGGGGTAGTGAAAGGTACTTGAGGAATGGTGAGTTTTCTGGTTTGGCTTCATCACAAGTGAGTAGTATTAGAATCAAGTTCAAGAGGTTGGCTGGAACCAAGTTGTGGGGAGCCTTGAATGCCAAGCTAAGGAGTGGCATTTTCACTTAGTAGACAACAAGGAGCAATCAACAGCAAGCAACCCATTAAAAATCTAATGCAGGTTCTAGCTCTGTTCTAAGCCTACAACACGCTGTGCTCCAACTAAGTCAAAACCCACAGTCTTACACTCTCACCCCTTGCAGAATGGCCCAGTCTGCACTCAAGACCAACCTTAGTCAAAGCTAATAACTTGAATCAGTTTAGAACATGGAGACAAGGTGTACCCTAACTGGCAGTTGGAGACCTGGACTCTGATCTGAGCTCTACCAGTTTTTCCCTTTTTATTTTTTAGTCTTCCTAGTTTCTATAATCTGAAAAATGGGAAGAACTATACTTGTCATCTCTCTCCCATACAAAAAAGCTGCAAAGATGAATGAGGTAGTGTCTGCTCCAAACACTTTGCAGTTCAGAAGAAAGATGTGAGAAACACTAGAGTTGTCATTCTCACTTCATATTAAGCAGATGGAAAGTACAAAGAAATGATTTTGCTGATAAAATGAATATGTTTTAATTTCACAGCCTTATTTCTCCCACAGTCCAATTTCTTTTTGTGCCCCAGGACTACAGTGTTCAGTATAAGTGTGTGCTAAACAAAAGCTATGGGTAAAGGTTTCTGCAAGCTATCTACAAGCATGTAGAAAACAATAATCTTTGGCTAACCAGAACTTTAATTCCTCTATCATTAGCAGCCTCCCACAAATTGCGATAGTTTCTGGTACTGGTTAACAAAATGTAAAACCTAGCTACTTAGTTTAACAAACAACTAAGGTATGATGAAAAGGGCACTGGTTTTGGAGTTTGAAGGCCCTATGTTCAAAGCCCAGTGCTGACACTTACCAGCTATGTAATTACAGACAAATCACTTAATTTCTTTGGATATCAGTTTCCTCATTTGCAAAACACATTGCATTTACATTCTCTACCTTGTAGGGCCATCGTGGAAAAACTTTGTAAACTGTAAAGTGCTGTCTAAATCAAGTATTTTTATTATTATAACTTTATACTAGTTTTAATTTGGGTGAAAAAAGCAATTGTATATAAGATAAGCTAAAAAAATTTTCAACTGAAGCATAACTTAGATAATGTAAACAATGGCAGCTAATAAACTATACAGGAGGTAGCCATGACTGAGACAAGCTAGGTTCCTTCTTGAAAGGATCTGTTCAAGGAAAAGGTTTGAAACAGGTAAAATGATAAATTAGTATTTGTATTTCTTTGTTCTCCATAGTCAATGACATCACAGTCCGAAAGCATGGCTCTTCATGTGTACAAAATGGTGGGCTCCATCTCTATCCAGTAACTGAGGAGAACATACAGGCTAGTTGCCATTCTTGGACCAGCTTCCCTGCTTCCTGGGCTGCTGTTGCCCTAAATGAGCCAACTCCTTTCTGACTGTGCCCTGCAGTTTGTTATCTCTTACTATCACTTCTCAGAAATCAACAGCTAGGTCCCATTCCTTTGGGCTATGCTTTCTTGACCCTTCTCAGATCCATTCTTGGAAGGTTTTTTGCCCACCTGGTCTGATGTTGCCCCAGATCAGTAAGCCTCATAATGACTGCTTAAGAATCTTGCAGCCTGAACATGGCTAATATGGAAATATGTTCTGCATAACTTCACACTTGTAATCGATATCAAATTGCTGGCCTTCTCAGGGAAGGAGCAGGGACAAGAGGGATGGAGAGAATTTGGAACTCAAAATGTTAAAAAATGAACAATTAAAAAATGAATAATTAAATTATTTTACATGTAACTGAGAAATAGTTAACAAAATAAATAAAAACATACTGAAAAATATGAAAAAATATGAAACATTAAAAAAAAAAAAGAACCTTGCTGCCTGCTATCCATCCCATATGCACAAACTATAAGCATTGCTTCTGAGCAGCAGGGACAAACAAATGGTCCTCCAGGACTTCACTAGTAATGACTATGCTGCCAATTTGATGTTTAGTATGGTCCATCAAGATGAATAATGCAACTGGCTCCAGTATTAATTTGCTGCCTAATCCTTTACATCAAGCCTGTTTTAACTCTTTACATAACCAAACAGCACAAAGTCAGCCTACCCAGCAGCCAACTCAAAGGAAGCTCTACTGTGGAAAAAATGAAACTCCTTTTTCAGATCATTACATTAAAATTCCACCTCTCTCTCTCTCTCTCTCTCTGTGTATACACACACACACACACACACACACACACACAGAGGTTGTTTCTCTCTGGTCTTAAAGCCATATTTTAATAAAGGAAATTTGACTGATGGCAGGAGTATTCTCAACACAAAAACACACACACAAAGGAAGAAACCGAGGTGCTCATCTATTCAAAGTAAATGAGACTCTGGGACAGGTGGTAAAATACCTTAGTTTCATACCATATCTATTACTGTGGCTCCAAATGTGTAGCCAGCAGCAACAGCTTTAACAAGCGGCTTCAGCTGATGCCTGGATTCTGCGAGCTAGCGTTAGCAATGAAAAGGGGCCACCATCCCACCTTGAAGACTTTCCTGCGGCTTACACTTCTCTTTGACGTAATAGAAAGGACCTAAATTCATAGGTAAACGTTAGAAAGGCCCTCAGAGATCAACCAGCTCAATATCCTTACTTTAGAGGGATCAGGCCCAGAAGCTTCAAGTGGAACGCCCAAGGTCACCCAGGTAGTAAACAGCAGGGCTGGGATTCCACCACGAGAGATGGAGAAAGGTGAGGAGTGCTTGCCCAGAACCTGAGCGTTCAGGGGTTGGGGCCACGGTTCCTCCCTCCCTAGGAGCCATTCATTTTCACTTTAATATTATGCTCTGATTCTGAATTCCCAAGGGGCAGGATTGGGACTCGCACCCCGCTCTCCTGACCCTTCATCCGGGTGTCTTTTCACTGCTTCTCGGAGAACTCTAAGCCCAAGGAAGAGTCGGGAGGTCTGGATCTGGATACCAGCTCTGTTACTAATTCCCCCATCCGGCCAGCCTCAGTTTCCCCCTCTCGGAAAACGAAAAAGTTAGGCAGGGCGATCTCCGGACCCTGCCCCGCGGCGCGGCCCGCCCCGCACTCACCACGCCAGGTGGAAGGTGTGCCCGCAGTGGATGGCGGCCACATCCCGGGAGTGGTCAAAGAAGTCCGAGCAGATGGTGCAGAGCGCACGTATCGGCATCCCGGCTCTTGGTGCCTCTGCTCGGGGAGCCCGTCAGCAGGGCCCGGGGCCTAACTCCAGCGGGTCTGGGGACAAGGGAAGGCGACTCGGGGCCCGTGGTCTCCAAACCTGGGCCGCAGCAAGCGACCACAGAATCTTCTTTTCTCCCTTCAAATTTGGCTCCGTCAGAGTCGCTTCCGGAAGCGAGGCGGAAGTGACGCAAAAAGAGCGAGGCGCGAGATCTGAACGAGAGCGGTGCGAGGCCCGCGCAGGGTGGGGGGGTGTGGGGGGAAGGGGCGGGGCTAGCCCGGGGCCGAAGAGGGCGGGAGGCGGAGGCGTGTCCCGCCTCGGCCCCAGATGCATCTTTGACACCTGTAGCGCTTGTGTGCCAGGGCCTCTGTTTCCCACGGAGTGACTGGACTGGTTTCTTCTCCCATCTCCCCCCCGCCCGGGCCAATCCTCCCTGGACCTCAGTTTCCCCATCTGTAAAAGGAAGGAAATGCTCTCCAAGTGGCACTAAAACTTGGGGGGACGGGGAAGTAGTGTGGTCCAGCGGAAAGAGGTCTGGGTGGACTTGGGGCAAAAAACCTGAGCTAGTCACCTGCCCTCTGAGGGCCTTCGTTGTTTTCCCATCTATGAAATGAAGGGGCTGGCCTCGACAGGCTCCGACATGCTTGGATTCATCCCAGATTCCACCCTCCTTCCTTCCACTTCCCCTGAATCTGACCGGCTTCTGTGTCCTGAATCGTTAGGGGCATCGACCTGGCACCTCTCAGCCTTATGGCCTGGGACTCAAGGTTTCTAAAGATTCTCTTTAAAACAGGTTTTCCCCATTATACTATGAGCTCATAGAGAGCAGGAATTGTTTGTTTCTTGCTTTTCTTTGCACCCCCAGCGCCTGACAATTGTTCAGTTGACTCTTTGTGACCCCATTTGGTGTTTTCTTGGCAAAGATACTGTAGTGCTTTGCCATTTCCTTCCCCAGCTCATTTCAGAAACTGAGGCAAACGGGATTAAGTGACTTGCCCAGGGTCACACAGCTAGTAAATGTCTGAGGCCAGATTTGAATTTAGGAATTCCAAGCCCAGTGCTCTTTTCTCGGTGCTGCTACCTCGATGACCCATCTTGCTTTTACTTATCTGTTTATGTTTTGTATCGCTCAGTTAGCATAAGCTAGTAAGTGTCTGAGGCCAGATTTGAATTCAGGAAGATGAGTCTTCCCGACTCCATGCCCAGCACTCTATTTCACCACCTAGCTGCCTTCCTGACACATAGTAGGGGCTTAATAGTTGACTATGGAGGGTAGGAAGTCCCAAGTCATAGAACCAATGTCCAGGGAGCTCAGGCCCCTGCTCTATGTCTCCAGTAAAGATTTCTCCTGTCCTGGGCAAATCTTTCCCTTTCCTTACTGTCCCATCCTTCTGGCTGTCCCTCAAATCCCCCTGCCTCAGCCTTAGGTAGGGGAATCTGGACTGGTTCAGCCCCAAAAGTGTGAATACAGTCTATATATCCCCTAAGGATTCCACCCTTATGTATTCTTCAACTTATTCACAGTGACTCTAAGAACCAACCACTTGAATTAAGCCACAGAACTGCCCCCCTTCCTCCAAGGCAGGCCTTTGAAACCTTCAGCCCATCAGTCAAAGGATTTCAAGCAGCCTGAGAAAAATGTAAAGGTAGAGCGTGCGGGCTGAAGATTGTGCAGGTTTGCTCCAAGGTATTCAAGGTTTGAGCCCAGGCACCCCCCACACCTAGCAAAACTTAGTTAACCCCTGGACAGTGGAGAGGCAATGTGCCCAGAGCATGGCTCTTTGATGTAAGACAGCTAGAACAGACATGGATCCCAGCTGGTAGGAACAGGTTTATAGCTAGGCGGTAAGTGATACAGAGACCTGTTGTCTCTACTTGCCCAAGCCTCCAGGGCAGAATGTTAGCGTTGGGTATACGTGACAAATCCAGGAAGAAAAGGGGAAGTGAGAGGAAATGGCTAGCACTGGTCCCATGATACAAAGAATTTGCTTATTAATTATAAATGCTAAAGCATCAATAAACATTCCTGATGATTCAAAGGGTCTCAGGTTTTAGAACCTGGAGAGACCTTAATCATCTAATCCAGCTTCCTCATTTCACTAATGAAGAAAATGGTGCCCAGAGCTGGGCAGTTACCTGCCAGTACCTTCCCAGAGGGTACTGCAATGAGCTCCTGCTCCTTAGAGGCTCTCTTCTAGCTTCAGTTATGCTGTGGCAATTTCCCTCTGGGGATTTTAAGCACCCAGGAAACCCAAATCAGCTTTAAAGAGTGGCAACTAACAGGAGATTAAACCTAAAATCAACAATATCTTTTTCCCAGTTTTTATAATCCATGACCCCGGATGTTAAAAGGGTCCTAACAAACATACCAGACAAATCAGCTCAGGGATCCTGTTTGAAACACAATACCTCCTGGCGCTTTACATGGGCTCTGCCTGGGTTGAGTCAAATGTTTTTCAGCACTGCTATGAACTATATGTTATCCCCGCCTTCCCTGGTTCAAGTTTGCCTTAATCCATAAACTGGCGTAGTCCAAGTACAGCAGTGGGGGTAGACCACTTGCTCTTCCTTAAACTCAACACCTATCTATTTCTCAGTGACTTTGCACTGGCTATTCCTCATTCCTAAAATAAAATCCACCCTCACCTTCACCTTTTAGCTTCAAAAGACTCAGCTTAAGCCCCATCTTCTACAGGAGGCCTTCCCCTCTCAGACCACTTTCCTCCTACTCTGCAAAGATATTGTACATACCTACTTATTTACATGTTTTCTCCCCCATTAGGTGAGCTCCTTGAAGACAGGAACTGAATTTGCCTTTCTTTGTATCACTGGTGTTTAAAATGGCAGCTGGCCCATAGTAAATGCTTAATAAATGCTTTTTGATTAACTGACTTTGTGGGATTGAGATGGGAAACCAGAGTGCTGGCCCCAGGTAGGAACCAGAAAGAAGCAGCAGCTATGATGTCAAAAATCTTTCTGAGCCTCCCTAAACCAGTCCTTTGACCTGATCCTATCATCTATCATATGACATAAAGAGAAGTCTAGCTATCCATACCACCTTGCTCCATGAGCCTGTCACTTCCTATACTAGGTTGGATCTCTAATGCCCAGAAACTTTTGGGAAAGGAGGGAAGAGGATTTTTCAAATACTAGCTTTGGTGTTGAATGGCCTCCATAACATAGACCTACCAAATTCCCATGTCAGGGTGATGGATGGAGTTACTAGGGACCCAGGCCACTGTTGTTGCCTTCCTTCCCTGACCTATTAAGTATGGCAAAATGAACTTATCCCATTGCCTTTTAGGGCACCCCAATGTTGTTTAGTTTTATCTCCCCAGAAGGCTGAAATGGAGCCCAGGGGCCAGGCCCCAGCTGGGGGCGGCGCAGTGGGACAGAGTGAGGCAGGTGGGCAGGAGGCTTTGGCACGGTGACATTTATTTGCCAATTACAGCAAGACGCGCAGTCTAGCCCTGCTGGCCTCTGAGCGCCACATCAAACCCACGGGCATGCAGGGGGAGCTGGGGCACAACCATTGCAGAAACCCTCAGGCAGGGAGCAAGAAGCCTGGCACAGCCTGGGGTAGGGACATAGGGGCAGGGGGCTGGCATGGCTGCCCCTGCCCTTAGCAGCAGGTTCTCACAAGGGGTATCTTCCAAGTTCCTTCCCTTGATCCCTGGCTCCCTAGAGTGTGGGGCCAATAGAACCTAGCCCACATTCTCACCTTTCAGGAAAAGAAACTTGGGATTTCTCCAGGACCCCTGCAAGGTTGGCAAGGTGTTGTGTTCTAGACCTCCCTCCAGGCCCGAGTGGGGGACAGGACGGGACTGAAGAACACTGAGTTTTTCTACCTCCATGTCACTGGTGAAATGGGTGATAGAGAAATCGACTCATAAAGAGGCAGATCCCCAAAATATAGAAACAATAGGAAATCGATATACTGAGGGTACCACTGGGTTTTGGTAATGGGTTGACAGCCTGAGAGGAAAGAAGAGGGCTGGGCTAGAACAAGTGGGACTTTGGAGACTGACTGAACTTCAGCCCCTGCTCCCTTGCACGGTTCAGGCTGACCATGGTATAGAGTATGGTATATCACCTGGCCCCTCCTGATCTCACCCTTTCTACCCATCCCTCTTTCCCCCCTTCAACCTTTCTGTTCATTCCCATGATGAGGATTCAGGCCTCATCCCTAGTGCTTCTCTAGTCAATTTAGCTGTCCAATGCGGTATCAATCACTCTCTCTATACCTTGGCCTACTGGGGCATTTTTTCAGGACTGCTCCAAAGCTACCAGGAACCTGGGAGGGTAAGACTAAGAAGCAGGGATGAGGTTCCTGGCAAAGATTTCCAAGAAGGCCATGGTGGAAGTGCATTCAGGACAGCTTCTCTTTGCATCTGTGCACTTTGCTGTTCCGCATTTTCTAAATCACACTCACTCTTCTACTTTCTGAGGTCATGGAGGGTAAGTAGGGTCACTCGCCTTGCACTCTGTGTTCATAAGTACTTTGTGCCTTCTGTCACCTTCTGCCCCTAACCCTTCTGTCCATATGCAAAGAGGGACCAATACATTCACCGGAGAGGCTGAGGGGGGGTCACCTTGATCCCTCACCCCACAGCCTCACCACATGACCAGCTCTCAGGGGAAGCCTCCCCACCAAAGGCTATGACCTGGGAGCGGACAAGACATGTGGGGCCTAGGGGAATCATGAGGGAAGAGGGGAAGGGACTGGGGGGGCAGCGTCCCTAGAGCAGTGTCTAGCAAGGAACAGAAATAGGAGAAGCCAGCAAAAGACAAAAAAAAGCCACAAAAAGTCCATGCAGGGGCCGGGGCCAGCCAGGGCCTCCCCCACCCACTCGCACATACAGAGGAAGAAACAGCTCTCTTGCAGCCCCTAGGGATCCACCCCACAGGGGAGGGGGCCAGGCCACACCCCCTGACCACAGGCAGCCACATAATGTGGCTAGGCTGTGGCCCTTCCAAGAAACAGGGATTGTCATGCCAGTGACTCTATGTACAGTGAGACCCTCCCCCATGCCCACCCTCCCCTTCACCCTCCCCCTACCCATTCCCCTGCCCGGCTCAGCCGGTCTCCTCGCTCCTCGCCTCCTGGGCGGGGCTGGCAGCCTCTTCTCCTTTACACGTGGATGGAGCCTGTACC